GTCAGGAAAAACAGGAAGACAAACAGATCCAACAGCCTTAGCATAATTCCTGTTGGAGTTCGCAAAAGAATTCTTGAAATCTTTGTACATAGAGAAGAAGAGTTCAGTTGCTTTGATGTTACATCAGGAAAGTCCTGACCAGTGGTGATTGCCAAGTTGAATTTCTGGCTTCTATATGGTCTTTGGTTCCATCATACTGAATGTTTCTTTGCGGTCACTTGCTCTCTTCTCGATTTCCTTATTCTGACATCTCTAGTTATGCTCAAGACCTACGCCTCATGCTTTTTACTCAACCTGAGGTATGATCTCCATTTTGCAGACTGTACCCTGAGTTTCTTCACCCAACAGATCTGATTCTATTGTGGAACTGTAGGTCTTTCTTCCCAGTGTTGTCTTTTATAGCCAGTGTTGTCTTTTATATTTGTACATTTAGAGCAATTTTTTTTTTTTTTAAAGTGTATTTAGGTTTGCTGTCCTACTGTGATAACATAGACAGATCTACTTTCCTCCTGTATCCATAATACCGAATTATATTCACGTAATTACCCAGAACATTTCCCCAATAGCTGTCTCTTTTAATAAAGCCCATGTTTAAATTTTGAAATTTTTCTTTTGGGTGTTTCTGAATATCATTCTGTCCAGTGTGCTTTATTATTGGTGCTGTAGGTGCTTACTGCGTAGTGATGTATCTTGGCCATTGTTTTTCTTTTGTTTTTTTTTTTTCCCCTGACAACATCCCTTGATGTTCATACATTATTAAGGTCAGTACAGACATTATGAAACAGATGCACGTCCATTAAAACCTTATTAGGAGATGTTATCATATTTCTTTGCACACGTAATTAATTCAGGCTTGACTTACTGCTTCGATGGAAGATGAAATCACTGCTCAAGGATGTGATGGTAAAGTCCCCTGCTTTTGAATTTAAAACTGTTATTCTTGTGGCACTGGATTGCAACTTGTGAGCTGGATCACTGTCTTTCCTGCCTGGTGAAAGGTAGTAAGGATTTGCAGCTCATAGGCTGTAGCCTGGGATTCTTTGTGAGCCAGATGTCAGCTTCTCCTAGGAAACAATTTGTTAGGCCCTGGCCTGGTGAGTTCTGGCAGTGGTATATGCTTGCTCCTGTGCCATCGTTGTGTCCCATAGCTTACATGAGAACATGGTTATCAAGAATGATGTTGTAAAATGCGTCCTTCATCCAGCGATACAGATCTTGTTTGAGCCCTTGCTTTAGCTCAGTTTGGCATCAGACCTCAATGTAATATAAAAACTGGTGTTTGCTGAACATGTGTCCATGCTCATTTTTAGAGCTGAGTTAGTTGTGTTCAGCATGGTTGACTTTCGTGTAGCAAAGCTTGACAAGGGTGTTCTTTGGTGGCTTTATTTCTTCGTTGTTTTTTTTTCCCCCTTCTTAAAGCTGACCCTTGTCAGTTAGTTGATTGTCTCACCTGAAGGCTGTCTTCTGCAGGATTTAGAATTTAATCTGTGTTAATCAACTTTTTGAAGTGGACATTAATGGGAAAGAATGGTTTGTGGTGTTTTCAGAATGCTTGTGTTTCCATATATCCATGCCTGGAAGAAAACCAGTGTTACACTCAAGATGGCCACTATTACCTGAGGACATAGATTTGGACACCGCTAAAAATCTCTAGTCGAGGAGAAGAAATAATTGTATAAAAACTCCTGGTTCCACTAGATGAAAAAAAATATTTTCTAGTGATTGACACTAGGAAGTATTATTAAATCTCTAACTACTGCTGAAAACCAAGGGAAAAGTATATACTCTTAGAGGTGGTTTTATTTATTGGTCCCTTGTAGGTCTCAGTTTAAGCTGTTTGAGTGCATTATTTGGGAAATTGTACCTTAAACCTGTTTTGAAAGCGGCTGTGGAAATCCACAGCTGTCTTACTGATGAGATCCTTGCAGAGAAAATGCTTTCCATCAGCTCTCAGATGAGGTATCCAGAGCGAGATGCGCTTCTTTAAAAACACTTTTCTCCTTTTTTTGTTACAACTGATGTTCTGAAGGTCGCTGTGCCCAGTACAAGTTGCGTCGCCAAGTTTTTCTGCAAGGAATTTTTAGGGGACAGTGAATTGGTGAGGAAAGAAGGTTTTTTTGTTTGTTTGTTTTTGAGATCAGCACTTAAAAACCTTTTGACTTTCAAAATTCGACTTTTTCAGTCTCTTCTGGGGTGCCAGGTTTTATTTAAAATTGATCTTTACATTAATGTTATACTGTGCTTAAACTCTGAATAAGATTTAATCAATTTGAATACATAAAGGCTTCTGGACAGCTTCTGCATCGACGTTGTTGTATAGTATCAGTATGTTGCTGACAGATTCAATCAACAGCAAGATTTATCTTTATGTGACTGAAAGACTGTAAAAATTCCAATAGAATGAAATTGATTTTCAAGGACAGTGTCCTGTGACGGTATTCAGATTGGGTCTGACTTAGAGATTCGAAAATACTGTATGGCTAACTCACGATGGGGCATCCTTTATTGCTAATGCTTTTACCTTTAATGCAAAGCTCTGTAAAACTGTCCTCTGTGTGAGATAAATCATTATGTATCTGGCATGCAAAAGAAAGCTAACTGACTCTAGAAGTACTTGTTTCGCGGCTAATTCATGACGTGATAAACATAATTTAATTTCCTTGAAGGGAAGCTGGAGCTGGACATCCAAGTATTGTTTTCTGTGAGCTATTCTCAGCCTGCACACCAGCAGTCAAGAGATGTTGTTCAGTTTGTTTCAGTCTGAGCACTGTGAATACTGTTTGGCCCTAAGTTAGAGAAAAAAAAAAAAAAGCTCAAGCAGGGAAGCATTTTAAAAGAAAAGAATGAAGGTGGGGTTTTTTCTTACGCAAAAGGCAGAAAAGACAGGGCAGTCTTCATTTACTTACTGTTAAGCTCTGAAATCCACAGCCTAATTGCTTTGCAGTGGCACTGGCCCTTGAGGGGAACATACCTCAGTTGCAGAAGCGGGTAGGGGTTGGAGAGAAGTAAAGCTTCAATTGGTAATGTTGCTTAAAGTTTTTTGGGAGGGCAGTGTTTCTAATACCAAAAAAAAAAAAAAAATCCAGGCAGGCTACTGTGATAAATGATCCCAGATTTTTGAGTAGTCTTAGCTGGTGGAAGTGAGTCATCAGCTGCTTGGTTACATGTAGAGCCTGCTGATTTCAGGGGGATGTCTTAGTTTAGGGAGTATAGAAAAGTTCTGTAATGTTGTTTTTCAAAAAGGATATTACAGGTTTTATGATAGCGATGAAGAAAATAGGATACCCATCCAGATCCTTTCTTCTGCTGTCACTCTCCTCTTTCCTTTATTTGAGACTTTAGTGCTGGGGAGATACATATACAGTGTGTGAAACATCTAATGGAAGTGAAAACTGAGATTGGCAGAGTTTTACTATTTATGGTATTAGTTCATGGATAAAAATTGCTTAGCAATGACGAACAAACAAATTACGGTGTGGGGGTTTTCTTCAGTTGAAGAAACCTTTTGCCTAAGAAATGGTTATTCATATCCTAAACTAGCACAGAAGTCTCATATTGAAAGAAACGATTCAAAATTTTATTTGAAGTTGACTGGAAGTACAACCCCCTGAATGGGTATTTCAAAAGCCCCTATAATACTTCATACTTATCTTGAACCTTTCATACATGGAAATCCAAGGGCATTATGAGTGGAGGGGAATTTTGCTATTGCCTACAGATGCATAGACTTGAAAGTGTGGAGGGAAAATGTGCAAAACCACCCTGTGAAATGACAGTAAGCCTTTGCTCTGTGCCTTATGGCGTTGCTTCCCTTTTTCTCTTCACTGGACAAAACTGGCTGCTTCAGAAGAATCACTGCTGTTAGTTGTCTGCTGGGGTTTGATTTTTGGCTACGTCTGTGGCAGGGGTGACGATATGAGGAATTCCTTGCATGATACGATCCTATATATGATCCTGTCTATGTCACAGAAGCATGACCGTTGTGCATAATTGACATAATTGTCACGATCATTTGTGCCATTTGATGTTGAAGAAAAATGAAGTGAAAATACAGTACTTCTTTAGAAATTATTGTCTTGTCACAGACAGCATGGTAAGTCGTGATAAGTAACTCAAAGGATACTTCATGGAATACTTTTTTCTTTTTAAACACGTCGTCTCTTCATGTTTACTAAGCCTTGATTTTTACTTGAGTTATTGTGCTATATTATCCATGGGTTTCTAAGGCCTGAATGTGAGACACTTTAAATGAAGGATTAGTCCTTTGGAAGGGCCTATTTGCTCATCTAAGATCAAGGCTGAAGCAGTCTGTGATGTAGGAGTTGGTCGTGCTAACAGTTTTCATGCTGCAGACGGTTGACTAAGGTCTATTTATCAGAAAGTAAGGAAAAAGTCTGTCTGTTCTCATTGTGCAGCTGGGAGCTTTTGCTTGAGCGCATACCAGTCTGTACTAGCAGGCTGTCCTCATGCAATATCTCTGCCCAGTGACGTCTGAGGAGTAGAAGCAGGCAGGGCTACTTACAGTGTGATCAAGTGACATCAGCTGGGGCCATAAGACTACTCCGCTCTTGGGCTCTCTTAGGACCTTTCTTGCTGTAGCCTTGTTCTGCTTCTCCCAAGCTACAAGTCTCAGCTGATCATGAAGCTGTCGACTGGAGCTCAGCTTCAAGACAGCTTGCTTATTCCAGCTCTGTTGGCTGTGACTGAGTAGAAGTGAAATCTGCCGTATGTTATGGTACTGATTTCTTGTGTGCTTTTTTTAAGTTTTCCATCATTTTATTTTAAATGAGAGGTACCATTTCCTAATTCTACTTCTGTAGCATTGGCATTATTAACACCTAAGGAGACAGTACAGGGCTTGGGAGAGAGAAATAGAAAACCCCATCCTTTTCTTAGCTCTAAGTGAGGTAAATCAAGACTTCTGAAGTCAGAAGACTAGCTAAGAATCCGTCTGCCTTTTTTCTTTGCAGTATACATGAAGCTCAGGATCTGAACCTGCTATGACTGACCCAGACGTCCTCACTGAGGTCCCAGCAGCTCTCAAACGCCTTGCCAAATACGTGGTGCGTGGCTTTTATGGCATTGAACATGCTTTGGCTCTGGACATTCTCATCAGGAACCCCTGCGTGAAGGAAGAGGACATGCTAGAGCTCCTTAAGTTTGATAGGAAGCAGTTGCGGGCTGTCCTCAACACCCTCAAGGGTGACAAGTTCATCAAATGCCGAATGAGGGTAGAGACGGCTCCAGATGGCAAAACCACCCGTCATAACTACTACTTCATCAACTACCGCCTTCTGGTTAACGTGGTGAAGTACAAGCTGGACCACATGAGGAGGAGGATTGAGACGGATGAAAGAGACTCCACCAATCGCGCCTCTTTTAAATGCCCCATTTGCTTCAGCACTTTCACAGACTTGGAGGCCAACCAGCTGTTTGACCCCAGGACAGGTAAGAGTACAGGTAACAGAATGCTCTTTGTAAGTGCTGGACTTTAAGAAAACAGGGTCTTAGGAAAATTCTCTTGAGTTCGGCCAGAGCTAGAGGGCACTCTGTTTCTGCAGGTGGTAAATGTTTGAGCAAAATACAAAAGTAATGTATACAGACTTATACAATCTGTACAGGCAAATAGCAATGTTGGTAAAATGCTTCAGTGACAAACACTAGAGAAATGGAGGTCTTATCGCAGTTGAATTCAAGGGTGAATGAGGCAGCCTGTCCTTGTTAGAAGCTGAAAGTTTTTCAGTATAACCTGGTCTTGCCTGTAAACTGTATGAGTTACTGGTAGTTTGCAGAGAGGGCATATGTATAGTTGACTTTGGTATGCAAAAAATTTTTAATTTAGAGATGGTCATGCAAGGAGTGAGTTGTTAGTGTTTAATTTTCTCCTAGCCAGTTCATTATACTGCACAACCTTGTTTCCCCAGTGTAAAGCAGTCTCACGAAAGTTAAAAGAAATCAATTATAGACTTGTCTGTGGTTGGGAGTAAACAAGATTCTTTTTCAAGTGTGTGCCTCGGTCTCAGTGGAGGTGCATATCCGTCTTATGCATACGAAATAAGAATCTTTTCTGGGTGTCATTGTCTGCAGAGGCAGTGCAAATACTTTGTGCTTCTGTGCCAGGGAAGAAAAGGAAGAACACCTGCACCTGATGAGATCCTATTTTGCTAGTCTAATCTGGGATTATTTTGGGGGGAAGGCAGGGAGCAGGGGTTGGGTGTTAGGCTTCCACCTTCTGCATTAGTTTCTTTACTTTTTAATTTTTCCTTTTGAATTCTTTGTCCTGATCTTACTTTTCTACAAAAATAAAAGAGCAAAAATCAGGAGAGCTCTCAGAAACATTGGAGTGTGGTGCTTTGTGTCAGTTATAATGAGAAACTGTAAAAGTTCACTGTTTAGTCGTATTGAAGCTTTTCATCTAGGGTTACTGATGTCTGATCTGCTTTGGAGAAGGGCAAACACCTAACAGATGTTTCCCTCTTTCCTGCCTCTAAAGATCAAGAACTGTGCAACTGCTTTTACTTGAACAACGATGAAAATGATATTTCGCACTAGAGAAGCAGAATCCACTAAAGCACATAACAGTCGTTGCTGTAATCCAGCACAGCTCTCCGAGGAGAAGTTGCTCCCTCATGGAGCACCCAAACCAGCAGTGCCAGCACAGATTTTCTGTACTGACCACTGAGTATAGAAGCTACACGTGCTCTCCACAGTAATGATCATCTGTGGCAGCTACTGTTGTGGGTGTTGGGCGGAAGGAGGATAGTGCTTCTGCAGTTTGCTTCAGTAAGGAGAGAGTAGAGAACCTGTGCAGAGAACAAACATAGTGGGGAGTGTGAGACGCTCATCCCAAGGGGACCTGTAACACTTGGCAGGTGAATCCTCGTGGCCTGCGTGGGTGGTGAGTTCCAAGAGCAAAGAACCGGCTGTCAAGGAGATGCAGAAGACAATAATGCTGGGGTTCGGCTTTGACAGCAAGGCCTGTGCTCCAGGAACTGATGCGGTCAACCAAGGGTTTGTCTGCAGTACGGGCGCTGGCTGCCTTCACAATGCAAAATCATTCGCTGGCACACGGAGCGTTTTGCAGTTTTGCTGATGGAAGGAAAGGTTGAGTGCTGTTTTCCCAGCAATTCCCAGCAGTTGGTTTCTGTCAGTATTAATGCAAATAACAAGACAGCCAGTTTACCTTCACTTACTTTCAATAAAAACATACCTGTCTAGAATTTATGTGCATTCTGTTTCTCCTTACATAACTTCTAAGTCAATGATAGCTTCATCTAGATAGTGCATGATGATACTGTTGTTTCTCAAGAGCTTTTACATGGAATACCAGTTTGGATAGGGCTCTCCAGTTACTGTTTAAGAAGGTCTCATACTGTCTCCAGACCATGAGATAGATGCTTGTTTCTATTCCTGGTAAATAAGTGGGCAATTTTGTTTGGTTTTTTTTGTGAGAATGGCTGCTGTATATTGCAGTGGATTGTGCAGATGTCTGCATGTTTCCTACTCCTCTGGAATTCCATATTGGGAAAGAACTGAGACACCTTTGGGTCTCTCACAGAGGGAGCTCATGAGGACAAGGCATGCAGAGGAACAAGGTTTATCAGACAGTGAATAGCCATCCTTTTTCAAGGATGTCTTTAGTCCTTATCAGTGCTCTACAAAAACCTCTCCCATTCATTGAAACTCAGGGCAGTACAACTGCTGAAGGGTAGCTCAAAACCACGTGAATTTCAGTCACGGTTGACCTGAGCTGCTCCTGGACTGCAGCCATGTCGATAAAATTTTGTGAATTAAAAGGCCTGCGCGGCCAAAGTCTGTTAGTCCACGGAGCAGGTAGAGCACGGAAGGCGTCCTCTGCACTAGTATAGACCAAGCTGCATTAAACTGGCGATCTGTTGTTAAAAGACATCCTGTTTTATGGTCTGCTTTTTGTAGTTGTCACTCAGAGATGAGGATGGTTTAGATGTCCTGTGTTTTCTTCTGCTTCACTTTCCTCTTCCCTAGTTACAACTCAAATGCAAACTCTGAGCAATTGTTGTAGTATGAAAGGTTTAGAAGAGGAGGTTATTGCTCTTGCCCTTCCTTATCACAGTGGCGGTGAGGAGGTTTCCAGAATCTCTCCGTGACTGTAGTCATTCTATTGCAATTTGTGAATTAAGAGTGCTTCTGAAGAGCCTGTCCATAAGTTGGATCTGGAGTGCTCTTCAATTTTTACCACAACATCTGTGTCTGTCTCTCGGCTTTAGCAGAGGTCTGTTTCGTATAGGTTACCAGCTGTCAGATGGAGGCTTTTTTAGCTCTGTGCTTTACTCCATTTGTGAATAATTTTTTAAATAAACTGAGGTGTTTATTTTTTTCATCAGAAGATGTGATTATTGGTGTTTTTGGACTGTGGAAATATGTCTGCTGAGAGAAAATAATTGATAGTAAGAAGGGTATGTTTTCAGGGCACATAGGTATAGATGTGCTTTGCTTGCTGTTCATCCAGTTAATTTGGAAAAATATTTTTGAATATAGTAACAAGTTTGCCACTGAGGTAATTTTAAATGTAGATTTTAAATGGTATAAATGTTACTTTGAGAGTGTGATCTCTCTCTTTTTAGAATTATTATATATAATTTTTCTCCATCCCTTTTTCTGCCATTAAACATCTTAATCCAAAAAAGCTCCAAAACCTTACTATGCTGTCAAAGGTTGAACAAGTATTGTCTGGTACTTGTAGGAAGTTCAAGGACAGGAATCGTGTAATGTTAAAGAAACTGTCAGATGGTGAAAGTCAAGGTGATGAAAAAACTGGAGTTTTGCTGCTTCTTCAACTCACAAAGGGATCTTTTGAAAAGTGAAAAGAAAGCAGCACGTTGTGTTGGAGGAGTCACTTGGTTGTATGACCAGCGAGTGCCTGCTAGCTGTTTTAGCCCCATCTGTTCTAAGTGAAGAGCTTGAACAGATCTCCAGATACTCCAGATCTCCACACTCTCCCCTCAGTGGCAATTTTTACTGATACTGCTTCTTTGGAGGCAACAGTAACGTCTGCTTTTAGAGGCAAACAGCTTGGACACAGCCTGCTTTTATTTTGCAAAAGTTTGCTGTGGAAATTTGTAGCAAAGTTAAGAAGAACTTTCTCATTCACGAGGTTGCAGATTTGTGGTTTACCTATTGACCTGGCAGTGCCTTTGATGGGAATTGGTGCAGGCTGGGTTGTGACAGTTCTTACCCACTTTTGTGAATGTTTTGAGGCCTACAGGAAAAGACTAATGCTGTATGAATAAGAAGTGTGACTTCTGGCCTTGTGTTTCAGACTGAGAAAGGAAAAGATTGTAGTTTTCCTAGAAGATCCTAATATAAGCACTTGAAATACAGATCATTGCCTTCCACTTGTGGCATCGTCTGCTGTCTACTTGTACCCTGATATTTCATCACTCTTTGTTCTGCGTGCTAGCAATTGCATGCAGCTGCCGTTGTGATGAAGCCTCATGCAGGTGGAAAGCTGCAGCCATTCCCTTAAACAAGGTAAGAGCTGTCTCTGGAGGCAGGGATGTACAAGAAAGAGTTTAATTGAGTAGCGGTAAGACAAGCCAGGTGTTCAATGCATACTGTGAGTAACGCTGCTGAACTCTGTCTGTTCCCCGACCTGGGCTGACAGTGGACACTGACATCAGGGACACTGGATTTTCAGGTGTTTCACCTAGAGATAGGACGTCACTTCATCAGGCTCTTACGCAGACCTGTGGGAAGAATTTTCTTCTCTGTGCTTTTAAATGTAAAAACTATAGAAGTGTGGTTTCTGTAGGCCAGTTCCTGAAATTGCAGAGTGATCTAAACAACTCGATACCATCTTGTGGATTGGATTTTTAAAAAAAAATTCTTGGAGAGTTAAATATGCACACGCCTGCTGTGCAGAGTGTGTGGGAAGGACAAGCGAAGCTGCATTGTCTCACCCAGTAGAGGGAGCTGTCTTCTTTTCTCTATACATACAGGCTTGGGTTGATTAATTTATTGAATGTCAGAAAACTGGAAATTATGTTCATGGATATGCGTTCTGTAGCGTGATTAACTGGGTCTGGTTGGGGACAGTCTCTCTGATGTATCCTGTTCTCATACCCTAATCATATTTGTAAATCTAGTGTGGTGTTGGAGTTGACTGTCAAATTCAAGGTCAATTTGAAAGAAAGTATGTGACTAGAAACTGCAAAAGGCAGAGTGGGGTTGAAGTGAAGGACTGACAGAAATGAGATCCTGCAGTGCATCACACTGTTATTCAGCCCTGGATTTCCTCAGGTATTCTAAACACCAAACTGCATCAGGATACTCACCAGCGTAGCAAGTGAATTTGATGTTAGAAAGAAAATACAAGGCTAGATGAAGTAGTTTTTCCTCTGTTCTCTTCTACCTTTGCAATATAATTTTTATCCAGTCTTATGTTTCTTTCACTTCTGTTACTATGAAGA